ACAAGGGAGAGCGGTAAATACTGAGGTACTCCAAGGATCTGTACGGGACCTGTGCGGTTCAACATCTTCATAAATGATCTGGGAAAGAAGGTGAACAATGAGATGACAAAATTTGCAGATGTTCATGTTAATTCTGTTTGCTAACATTTTTATTATCTCTCTTAGCCTAACTTTGCAAAGCTAGACGGCAGTCTTGGTTAACTATTCTTTAGCGTAATGGAGAGTTTCAGGCCTATGTTTTAATAGATGTAATATGACAATTTTTGAACGCTGCATCCGATCAAGTCCAGAATTTCAGAGGATGTTCAGAGGATGTTCTACATATCAATGGGAAGAACCCTGTCAATTTTCGTGGAAATCTGCAAACTGGAAAGGGGAAATGGAGGACACATGGCTCGCCTAGCACCTGGATAGCAGAGCTGGCATAGCACTTTCCACCACCTCTATAATTGTCTGTAGATCAAAGAACCAGTTGATCATAGAATCATAGAATATCAGGGTTGGAAGGGACCTCAGGAGGTCATCTAGTCCAACCCCCTGCTCAAAGCAGGACCAAATCCCAACTAAATCATCCCAGCCAGGGCTTTGTCAAGCCTGACCTTAAAAACCTCTAAGGAAGGAGATTCCACCACCTCCCTAGGTAACCCATTCCAGTGCTTCACCACCCTCCTAGTGAAAAATGTTTTTCCTAATATCCAACCTAAACCTCCCCCACTGCAACTTGAGACCATTACTCCTTGTTCTGTCAACTGCTACCACTGAGAACAGTCTAGATCCATCCTCTTTGGAACCCCCTTTCAGGTAGTTGAAAGCAGCTATCAAATCCCCTCTCATTCTTCTCTTCTGCAGACTAAACAATCCCAGTTCCCTCAGCCTCTCCTCATAAGTCATGTGCTCCAGCCCCCTAATCATTTTTGTTGCCCTCCGCTGGACTCTTTCCAATTTTTCCACATCCTTCTTGTAGTGTGGGGCCCAAAACTGGACACAGTACTCCAGATGAGGCCTCACCAATGTTGAATAGAGGGGAACGATCACGTCCCTCGATCTGCTGGCAATGCCCCTACTTATACAGCCCAAAATTCCGTTAGCCTTCTTGGCAACAAGGGCACACTGTTGACTCATATCCAGCTTCTCGTCCACTGTAACCCCTAGGTCCTTTTCTGCAGAACTGCTTCCTAGCCATTCGGTCCCTAGTCTGTAACAGTGAATGGGATTCTTCCGTCCTATGTGCAGGACTCTGCACTTGTCCTTGTTGAACCTCATCAGGTTTCTTTTAGCCCAATCCTCTAATTTGTCTAGGTCCCTCTGTATTCAACCCTACCCTCCAGCGTATGTACCACTCCTCCCAGTTTAGTGTCATCTGCAAACTTGCTGAGAGTACAGTCCACCCCATCCTCCAGATCATTAATGAAGATATTGAACAAAACCAGCCCCAGAACCGACCGTTGGGGCACTCCGCTTGATACCGGCTGCCAACTAGACATGGAGCCGTTGATCAATACCCATTGAGTCTGACGATCTAGTCAGCTTTCTATCCACTGTATAGTCCATTCATCCAGCCCATACTTCTTTAACTTGCTGGCAAGAATACTGTGGGAGACCGTATCAAAAGCTTTGCTAAAATCAAGGAATAACACATCCACTGCTTTGCCCTCATCCACAGAGCCAGTTATCTCCTCATAGAAGGCAATTAGGTTAGTCAGGCATGACTTGCCCTTGGTGAATCCATGCTGACTGTTCTTGATCACTTTCCTCTCTTCTAAGTGCTTCAGAATTGATTCCTTAAGGACCTGCTCCATGATTTTTCCAGGGACTGAGGTGAGGCTGACTGGCCTGTAGTTCCCCGGATCCTCCTTCTTCCTTTTTTTAAAGATGGGCACTACATTAGCCTTTTTCCAGTCATCCGGGACCTCCCCCGATCACCATGAGTTTTCAAAGATAATGGCCAAAGGCTCTGCAATCACATCCGCCAACTCCTTTAGCACCCTCGGATGCAGCGCATCCGGCCCCATGGACTTGTGCTCGTCCAGCTTTTCTAAATAGTCCCGAACCACTTCTTTCTCCACAGAGGACTGGTCACCTTGTCCCCATAGTGTGCTGCCCAGCGCAGCAGTCTGGGAGCTGACCTTTTTTGTGAAGACAGAGGCAAAAAAATCATTGAGTACATTATCTTTTTCCACATCCTCAGTCACTAGGTTGCCTCCCTCATTCAGTAAGGGGCTCACACTTTCCTTGACTTTCTTCTTGCTGCTAACATACCTGTAGAAACCCTTCTTGTTACTCTTAACATCTCTTGCTAGCTGCAACTGCAAGAGTGCTTTGGCCTTCCTGATGTCACTCCTGCATTCCTGAGCAATATTTTTGTACTCCTCCCTGGTCATTTGTCCAATCTTCCACTTCTTGTAAGCTTCTTTTTTGCGTTTAAGATCAGCAAGGATTTCATTATTAAGCCAAGCTGGTCGCTTGCCATATTTACTGTTCTTTCTACACATCAGGATGTTTTTTTCCTGCAACCTCAATAAGGATTCTTTAAAATACAGCCAGCTCTCCTGGACCCCTTTGCCCTTCATGTTATTCTCCCAGGGGATCCTGCCCATCTGTTCCCTGAGGGAGTCAAAGTCTGCTTTTCTGAAGTCCAGGGTCCGTATTCTGCTGCTCTCCTTTCTTCCTTGTGTCAGGATCCTGAACTCGACCATCTCATGGTCACTGCCTCCTAGGTTCCCATCCACTTTTGCTTCCCCTACTAATTCTTCCCGGTTTGTGAGCAGCAGGTCTAGAAGAGCTCTGCCCCTAGTTGGTTCCTCCAGCACTTGCACGAGGAAATTGTCCCCTACACTTTCCAAAAACTTCCTGGATTGTCTGTGCACCGCTGTATTGCTCTCCCAGCAGATATCAGGATGATTAAAGTCCCCCATGAGAACCAGGGCCTGCGATCTAGTAACTTCTGCTAGTTGCTGGAAGAAAGCCTCGTCCACCTCATCCCCCTGGTCTGGTGGTCTATAGCAGACTCCCACCACAACATCACCCTTGTTGCTCACACTTCTAAACTTAATCTAGAGACTCTCAGGTTTTTCTGCAGTTTCATACCGGAGCTCTGAGCAGTCATACTCCTCTCTTACACACAATGTAACTCCCCCACCTTTTCTGCCCTGCCTGTCCTTCCAGAACAGTTTATATCCATCCATGACAGTACTCCAGTTATGTGAGTTATCCCACCAAGTCTCTGTTATTCCAATGACATCATAGTTCCTTGACTGTGCCAGGACTTCCAGTTCTCCCTGCTTGATTCCCAGGATTCTTGCATTTGCATATAGGCACTTAAGATAACTCGCTGATTGTCCTGCTTTCTCAGTCTGAGACAGGAGTCCTCCCCTCTTGCACTCTCCTGCTCATGCTTCCTCACAGTATCCCATTTCCCCACTTACCTCAGGGCTTTGGTCTCCTTCCCCCGGTGAACCTAGTTTAAAGCCCTCCTCAATGGCATAAATAACACCTTTCAGCATAACAGCTCCCCCATTCCATCTTTGCCCTATGAACCAATCGAATTTAAAAATGGTGAAATACTGAAAGAGAAAGAAAAGAAGAGAGAAAGGAGAATAATATTGTGGGGGTGGGAAGGTGGGGCTGGGGAGGCATGTGGAGAGAAGGGTAAGGGGGCTTGACACAGGACCCCTGGTGTGGAGGGGCCATGAGGCACTTGGCATGGGGACAGAGTAGAGGGAGGGACACACAGAGTCCCTGGCATGGGGAAAGGTTGGGTGGCTGCAGGGAGTCCCTGAAATAGAGGGGAATGGGATGGGGTCCCTCAGGTAGTTGTGTGCGGATGGAGAGATGCAAGGAGCCCCTGGTTCATGCAATGAGCTCAGCCTGCATAAGTGATACATTCTGTGACCTCTCAAGCCCACTTTATAGGGGGCTGAGGCATGTGAGGTGCTAAGAACCCACAACTCCCAGTGACTTCCGGGAAGCTGGTTAGCATGTGTGTGGGGGTCTTTTCTTGTTTTCTTAAAACAATGCTTTCTTAAACACAATGCACTTACCTATCACACCGTTTCCCCAACCACACAAAAGAAAAGAAGTGATTAGCTAAAGAACACCAAAAATCTCACCATTTCTGCAGAGGAAACAGACACAAATGGTTCTTACAAGGTAGAGGAAATATTCAGTTTGTCACAATGGAAATTATTTGATTAGTAAAATGTGGGCACACCCTCTCCTTCACTGGGGCTTCTGATCTATTTCCCACCCCAGTGCACATATACAAATGCAGAGTTTTGAGGAAACCATGTGCAAAGCATTTTTTTTCTTTTACCCCCCCCAGAAACCTCTGAGGATAACACTGGTAAATCTGCATTCTTTGTTCTCTACTTTCAATAACACCAACATGTTTATTATGATAGATTATGAGTAATATCATAATACTACAAGGTAAGAACCATTGGTGAACTTCAGTGTAAACACACACTACAGCAACAGGAGGGGTTCTCCCATCACTGTAGTGAATCCATCTCCCCGAGAGGCGAAAGCTAGCTTGACAGAAGAATTCCTGCATCAACCTAGTGCTGTCTACACTGGGGTTAGGTCGGCTTAACGGCACCACTCCAGGTTGTGGATTTTTCACACACACACCCTTCCCCCAGAGCAATGTAGCTGGGTCGACATAACTTTTGAGTGTAGACCTGGCCTGAGTATTGGCATTGGCACATGGAATTTTGGAGGCAAGGCAGCCATACAACTTGTCATTTATTGTGGCAACATTTTCTTTAAAAAATTTCTTTCTTTCCCCTCCCCCCAGAAACCTCGGAGAACAACACTGGTAAGTATGCATTTTTTTGTTCTCTACTTTCAAAGACACCAAAATATTTATTATGATAGAATATTGGTAATATCATAATAATAAAATATTAGAACCATTGGTGAACTGCAGACAACAACCCTTTTAGGAACTGTGACTATTTTAAGGAAAGTCAAAGGAGAACAAGTGTATGCTGATAACCTAAAATGTGGGAATTCTGCAGATGATTTTACAAAATTCCTGACCATCCAAGCCTAGTGAGTCAGTTTGTGGTCAGGATTTATTGGCGACTCATTGGGATAAATTTTAGACCGTAGCTTTCCCCTTTTTATGCTTAAAGATTTTGTATGTTGTGAAAACTATTTATTTAAAAAAAAAACCTCTCTGGTGTAATATTGAGGAACAAAAATAATAAATGAGAAATTATGATGCTGTGCTTCTTTGGTTTTTTTGTTTGTTTTGAAATCTTGCCTGGTGTGTATCCATTTCTTCCATTTCATTTGTCAAATAATTTTAATTCTGGTGCCAGCAACTACACACAACAAAAGACCCCAAACAACTTAGAATTGTTCTCTGTCTTTAAAACGGAAAGGCACTTCTTTATCAGAACAAATCTATGTGTTGGATATTTTCAGTAACTAATGACTTTTTTTTTTTTTTGTCTTGCTCTACAGAAAAAATTGTCTTAGCCCTACTCCTGGGCATGATCATCATCGGGATCATCTATTATTTAAGTAGGAAGATCTTCTAGCTACATTTCTAGACTTTCTTCATAATTACAATATAAGACCAAATTCTGTTTAAATAATGTATGTGACACGCTACTTCTGATCTAAACAAAATGACATATTCCTCTTTCTTTCTTTTTTTAATTTTAGTTTTGTGTATTGTTTTCAGGGTGGTGATTTTAAAGGTGGAACTGATTTTAGGGAAATGCTAGTCCTGTGTTTTTAAAATTTGTATCTGTTTTAAATTATATTTTCTGTTTATTGTAGTGTGTGCAATGGCTTATGGCTACGATGCTATATTAAATCACTTACTGAGTCTTTACTGAAATTGGCATCAAGGGGAATATTTGGTGAGGAGGGCTGCAGTCTTTGGTCCTCCACTTGCATATGGTATAAATTATTACTGGAAACAGGCTCCAGAATTGGAACCAGTTTTTGACTCAGCCCCTCACATATTTGTGGGTGTTTGGCTCCATTATTTTGGATCAGTGCATTATAGACAGACAAACCATGGATTTTGTCTCTGTATCCAGATTTAAATTCCATCCCACCCCCACCCTGAGCAAAGGAAGAGGGAGAGCTGGCTTTAGAAACCAAGCCGAGGAAAACAACATCTCCCCTTACTCAATTGAAAGAGTGCTCCAAGACCAGAAGGAATTTCAGCATATATTTTGTGGTGTTTCCCCTGCTAAACCCTATGCTTTGGGGAAGGGCTAGGGTAAGGTTTCTTCTGACACTGACAATAATGTCAGGTACAAAGCCAGCTCCCTCTGAGCCCTGGTCTACACTATACAATTAGGTTGACATAAGGCAGCTTATGTCAACCTAACTATGTTGGTGTATACTCTACAGCCTTGCTCAGCTGATGTAAGGCTAGGTCTACACTACGGGGGGGGTGTCGACCTAAGATACGCAACTTCAGCTACGTGAATAGCGTAGCTGAAGTTGCGTATTTTAGATCAACTTACCTGGCTGTGAGGACAGCGGCGAGTCGACCACGGCTGCGCCGCCGTCGACTCCGCTTCCGCCTCTTGCCGCGGTGGATTTCCAGAGTCGACGGCAGAGCGATCAGGGATCGATTTTATCGCGTCTTCACTAGATGCGGTAAGTCGATCCACAATAGATCGATTGCTACCCGTCGATCCGGCGGGTAGTGAAGACGTGCCCTAAGTGCCCTAATACACTGACATAATAACTCCACCTCCACAAGAGGTATAGGGCTTATGTCAATTTGTGCTGAATTCCACCAATATTTTCAGTTGGGGAGAAATTTTTCAAAAGATTTGAAATGTTTTGTTTTGAGTGTTTTATTTCAAAATATTTCATTTAAAACCATGAATGGTGACAAGCTGAAGCTAGACAAATTCAGATTGGAAATAAGAAGTAAATTTTAATGATGAGGGTAATTAACCTTTGGAAAAAATTACCAAGGGTCTCTAGGAATTACTTTTGGGAAAGCTCTGTGGCCTGTCTTGTCCTAGGATTCAGGATATATAATCACAATAGTCTCTTCTGGCATTGGAATCTAGGAATCTGCAGTGGTATACAAGTGCCTTTGGCTTTAATTCTTGCATTTTATTATTTCTCTACTTACAATATTTTTTTTATAAATTACCAAACTTTGTCTTGGTTTTGGTTATTACATTATTTCTGTATGCTATAGAGACAAAATTGGAAGTACACAGTTAAACACATGGTTTTCTTTTTAAGGAAGCCAGCAGAAAGAAAAAGTTTTTTTTTTCCTGTTGAATGCTCTGGAGTCTGAAACTATTTGCCAAAATCGTGTTGCATTCCATCAATAGTTTCAAAAGAGAAAATGTTTTCAAAAGATTTGAAATCTTTTTTTTTTGAGTGTTTTATTTAAAAATATTTCATTTTAAAAAGTCAAAATATTTCATTTCAACTTTCTGATTGGAAGTGCTATTTTACATCCAAGTTTGGCCAATAAAAAAGAAAAACTGAAGAAAAAAATCAGTTTGTGTTAATTGAAGAGGTTTGCTTAATTTGAATTGAAATTTTTGAAGTTTTTTTGATTTGACAAAAAAAATTGTTTTGAATTGAAACAGTTGCTTTACTGGATTTTTTCTATTCTGAAAAATCCATTATTCACCCAGTTCTACTCATAAAGCTGTTTATTCAGCCCAGCCACCACTAGAGGGGGACAAAGTGCCCCACTGAGTAGTTGCGTGTTCCATTGTCTCTCCATGGATCTACCACCATCATCTTGTAGCCACAAGTAGGGGTGTGGGGGGGACTTAATCCCACTTTGGTGGCAGGTCCACTACTGCAGCGTCTTGAATGATTTACTGCTATAGCTCATGCTGAAAGTCCTGGCCTCAAATCTCATTCTTAGCCCCTGTGGTAGTGTTGTTATAAACTACTTTTTATTTATGTTTTATTTTCAGTCTAATTATAAGCACACACTTTCAATAATATAGACCTGGTCTTTTTAATGACCTGAAACATGCCATACAAGTGTCTTTTATAAACAGGTTATAGGATATTTTCATTTGCCATCACACAGGGCAGGACTCTGGTCTCCACAGTGTATGTACCTCATTGACAGCAAATTCTGGGGTAGATCCTATTCTGCTAATCAGCAGAGTAAAAGGGTCATAGGAGATTCCCCTTTCTGCCCCCTTGCATACAGCGTGCACCAGGGGCATGCCAGAGTGCAGCTGCTCATGGAAAATGAATGTTGAATGAATAAACAAGAGTATTCACATTGGAAACTACAGCTGGCCAAAAATACCTGCATCCAAACATTTTTCCAACTAAAAATGGCTTTTCAACAGAAGTGAGAAATTGTGAGAAAAGTTTTCACTTTGCCCAGATATTTTTCAATTTCTTGATGAAACATGCAAATGCAAATTCAGTTTTCAAATGTTTTTAGGTGTATTTAATTTTCTTCTACTTTTCTTTTGCCCTCCCTCCCTTTTCCCCCTCTTTCTGAGGGAGACAGGGTGGGGGGAAACCAAAATTTTTCCTCTCTTTTCCAACTTTTTTTGTTTGAAAATTCCACTAAATATTCAAACAAAACAATGATTTTTTGGTGCATTTTTCAAAAATTTCCACAGAAAGGAATTACTATTGTTTGACTAGCTCTGCTGGAAACCTGATTATAAGCAGAACAAGCAAACAAAGTACTGCAGCACTGGAATTCCTGTTCTTTTAGGATGAAGTGCACCCTCTGAATAGTGTCTGGATAAAACTTTCCACCAGGGGTCAGCGCTGACAAAAAATAGACGGTGCTAGCCAGAAGTGCCTCCTCAGTGCTGCCTCCATCATCCTGGCTTCTGTATAGCTCCATCCACAAACAAAAACTGCCCCCCTAAACGACAATGCATTGGAGAGGTTATCCGTACAAATTCGCAATCAGCTCTAATTTCCAGTCTGACAACTCTTTATCATCTTTTTAAAAAATTCTATTAGTAGTAGTAGACCTGCGTTGGTTTTCCTGTCGTGTTAGAATTTTCAATATTTCAAAAAATTTTCCCATCCGGAAGTACGATGAACAGTTTAAATTTAGAAATCTTTCACAAACCAGAAGCTTCGGAAGTGGTTAACATGTAATATCTGTGAGTATTTGTTAACCCATTACACACAGACACACACACACACACACACCAGTGACTGCCAGAAGAGATGAGTATCAAAGCAGAAAACAGGAACTTTGAATTGGTTCTTCTTCAATGCAGTGCTATTAAACTTTCTATACTAGTAGAACATCTATAAAGAGCTGTGAAGGGCTCACTGTTAAACGTATAGTAGCAAAATTATTTTTTTCCTGTTAATCTTTTAATGAATCTCATGTCTTGTGTTTGAACTCCAGAAAGAGGCAGTGTGTAGCATCTCTTAAGCAGTGACAATATTCAGAATTTTCTTTATTGCAGCGACTTAATTTATTGAATTTTTTTACAGTACTGGGATGAGTCAATTAAAATAATATTTTTGTTGTTGTTTGCAGATGCTCTCCAAGCAGAACTGAGTAAGTGTATGTTGATTCTTTGAATGTAAAAGTTAATTCAGTTCCATGGTGGAAAAGTGAAGCAAATAGAAATGAAGTTCTCACAGTTAGAAATAGGGAACCGAAAGATCTTTGTTGTTGTTAGAATATTATTTTGATAAAATGTGCTAGGATGGAAAGACGAATGATAGAGATCAATTCCTGCTCCCATTGGGTGAAAGTCTCTCCTACGCAATGGGCTATGTGTCACTTATATCCCACAC